TGTAAACCCTTGTAAATCCCTGTATACCCTTGTATACCTTGGTAAACCCTTGTATACCCTTGTCAACCCCTGTATCCCCTTGTAAACCCTTGTAAATCCCTGTATACCCTTGTATACCTTGGTAAACCCTTGTATACCCTTGTATACCCTTGTATACCCTTGTATACCCTTGTATACCCTTGTCAACCCCTGTACACCCTTGCATACCCTTGCATACCCCTGTATACCCTTGCATACCCCTGTATACCCTTGCATACCCTTTTATACCCTTGCAAACCCCTGTATACCCCTATACAATCACGTAAACCCCTGTATACCCTTATATACCCTTGTAAACCCTTGTCAACCCCTGTATACCCTTGTAAACCCTTGTAAATCCCTGTATACCCTTGTCAACCCGTGTATACCCTTGTAAACCCTTGTAAATCCCTGTATACCCTTGTATACCTTGGTAAACCCTTGTATACCCTTGTCAACCCCTGTATCCCCTTGTAAACCCTTGTAAATCCCTGTATACCCTTGTATACCTTGGTAAACCCTTGTATACCCTTGTATACCCTTGTATACCCTTGTATACCCTTGTATACCCTTGTCAACCCCTGTACACCCTTGCATACCCTTGCATACCCCTGTATACCCTTGCATACCCCTGTATACCCTTGCATACCCTTTTATACCCTTGCAAACCCCTGTATACCCCTATACAATCACGTAAACCCCTGTATACCCTTATATACCCTTGTAAACCCTTGTCAACCCCTGTATACCCTTGTAAACCCTTGTAAATCCCTGTATACCCTTGTCAACCCGTGTATACCCTTGTAAACCCTTGTAAATCCCTGTATACCCTTGTATACCTTGGTAAACCCTTGTATACCCTTGTCAACCCCTGTATCCCCTTGTAAACCCTTGTAAATCCCTGTATACCCTTGTATACCTTGGTAAACCCTTGTATACCCTTGTATACCCTTGTATACCCTTGTATACCCTTGTATACCCTTGTCAACCCCTGTACACCCTTGCATACCCTTGCATACCCCTGTATACCCTTGCATACCCCTGTATACCCTTGCATACCCTTTTATACCCTTGCAAACCCCTGTATACCCCTATACAATCACGTAAACCCCTGTATACCCTTATATACCCTTGTAAACCCTTGTCAACCCCTGTATACCCTTGTAAACCCTTGTAAATCCCTGTATACCCTTGTCAACCCGTGTATACCCTTGTAAACCCTTGTAAATCCCTGTATACCCTTGTATACCTTGGTAAACCCTTGTATACCCTTGTCAACCCCTGTATCCCCTTGTAAACCCTTGTAAATCCCTGTATACCCTTGTATACCTTGGTAAACCCTTGTATACCCTTGTATACCCTTGTATACCCTTGTATACCCTTGTATACCCTTGTCAACCCCTGTACACCCTTGCATACCCTTGCATACCCCTGTATACCCTTGCATACCCCTGTATACCCTTGCATACCCTTTTATACCCTTGCAAACCCCTGTATACCCCTATACAATCACGTAAACCCCTGTATACCCTTATATACCCTTGTAAACCCTTGTCAACCCCTGTATACCCTTGTAAACCCTTGTAAATCCCTGTATACCCTTGTCAACCCGTGTATACCCTTGTAAACCCTTGTAAATCCCTGTATACCCTTGTATACCTTGGTAAACCCTTGTATACCCTTGTCAACCCCTGTATCCCCTTGTAAACCCTTGTAAATCCCTGTATACCCTTGTATACCTTGGTAAACCCTTGTATACCCTTGTATACCCTTGTATACCCTTGTATACCCTTGTATACCCTTGTCAACCCCTGTACACCCTTGCATACCCTTGCATACCCCTGTATACCCTTGCATACCCCTGTATACCCTTGCATACCCTTTTATACCCTTGCAAACCCCTGTATACCCCTATACAATCACGTAAACCCCTGTATACCCTTATATACCCTTGTAAACCCTTGTCAACCCCTGTATACCCTTGTAAACCCTTGTAAATCCCTGTATACCCTTGTCAACCCGTGTATACCCTTGTAAACCCTTGTAAATCCCTGTATACCCTTGTATACCTTGGTAAACCCTTGTATACCCTTGTCAACCCCTGTATCCCCTTGTAAACCCTTGTAAATCCCTGTATATCCTTGTATACCTTGGTAAACCCTTGCATACCCTTGTATACCCTTGTATACCCTTGTCAACCCCTGTATACCCTTGCATACCCTTGCATACCCTTGCATACCCCTGTATACCCCTGCATACCCTTGCATACCCTTGTAAACCCTTGTAAATCCCTGTATACCCTTGTATACCTTGGTAAACCCTTGTATACCCTTGTTTACCCTTGTCAACCCCTGTATATCCTTGCATACCCTTGCATACCCCTGTGTACCCTTGCATACCCTTGTAAACCCTTGTAAATCCCTGTATACCCTTGTATACCTTGGTAAACCCTTGTATACCCTTGTTTACCCTTGTCAACCCCTGTATATCCTTGCATACCCTTGCATACCCCTGTGTACCCTTGCATACCCTTGTAAACCCTTGTAAATCCCTGTATACCCTTGTATACCCTTGTCAACCCCTGTATACCCTTCCATATCCTTGCATACCCTGTATAACCTTGCATACCCTCGCATACCCTTGCATAACCTTGTAAACCCTTGTAAATCCCTGTATACCCTTCTATACCTTGGTAAACCCTTGTATACCCTTGTATACCCTTGTATACCCTTGTCAACCCCTGTATACCCTTGCATACCCTTGCATACCCCTGTATACCCTTGCATACCCCTGCATACCCTTGTAAACCCTTGTAAATCCCTGTATACCTTTGTATACCTTGGTAAACCCTTGTATACCCTTGTATACCCTTGTATACCCTTGTATACGCCTGTATACCCTTGCATACCCTTGCATACCCCTGTATACCCTTGCATACCCTTGCATACCCCTGTATACCCTTGCATACCCCTGCATACCCTTGTAAACCCTTGTAAATCCCTGTATACCCTTGTATACCTTGGTAAACCCTTGTATACCCTTGTATACCCTTGTATACCCTTGTCAACGCCTGTATACCCTTGCATACCCTTGCATACCCCTGTATACCCTTGCATACCCTTGCATACCCCTGTATACCCTTGCATACCCCTGCATACCCTTGTAAACCCTTGTAAATCCCTGTATACCCTTGTATACCTTGGTATACAAGGGTTTACAGGGGTATACAAGGGATTACAAGGGTATACAAGGGTTTACAAAGGTATGCAAGGATTACAGGGGTATACATGGGATTACAAGGGTATACAAGGGTCTACAAAAGTATACAAGGGATTATAGGGGTATACATGGGATTATAAAGGTATACAAGGGTTTACAGGGGTATACAAGGGATTACAAGGGTATACGAGGGTTTACAAAGGTATACAAGGGATTACAGTGGTATACATGGGATTACAAGGGTATACAAGGGTTTACAGGGGTATACAAGGGATTACAAAGGTATACAAGGGTTTCTAGGGGTATACAAGGGTTTACAAAGGTATACAAGGGATCACAAGGGATTACAGGCTTACAAGGATATACAAGGGTTTAGAAGGGTATACAGGGGTTTACAGAGGTATACAAGGGTTTACAGGGGTATACAAGGGATTACAAGGGTGTGCAAGGGTTTACAAAGCTATATAAGGGTTTAGAAAGGTATATAAGGGATTACAAGGGATTACAAGGGTTTACAGGGGTATACAAGGGATTACAAGGATATGCAAGGGTTTACAAAGCTATATAAGGGTTTACAAAGGTATACAAGGGATTACAAGGGATTAGAAGGGTTTACAAGGGTATACAAGGGTTCACAAGGGTATACAGGGGTTTACAGTGGTACACACGGGCTTACAGGGGTAACAGGGGTTTACAAGGGTTTAGAGGGGTATACAAGGGATTACAAGGGATTGCAAGGGTTTACATAGGTATAGAAGGGATTACAAGGGATCACAAGGGTTTACAAGGGTATACAGGGGTTTACAAGGGATTATAAGGGTTTACAAGGGTATGCAGGGGTTTACAAGGGTGTATGAGGGTTTACAAGGGTATACAAAGGGTTTGCAAAGGTATACAGGGGTTTACAAGGGTATGCAAGGGTTTGCAAGGGTATTCAAGGGTTTACATGGGTAAA